CGAAATAAAATGAGGTTTAGAAATCGGTCTATAGTTATTGATATCACTAGTATCCATACCACTCCTCTTCAGAATAGGAAGCACAATTGCGTGTTTACACGCCTGAGGAAAACGACCAGATTTTAAGCATAAGTTGATCAAAGATGTTAAAAACGGAGTGAACAGGTTAACGTATCTCTTTACAACATCAGTCGGAAAAATATCCTGTTGACATGACTTAGCTGGTGCACTTTGTATCATGCTTATAACATCATCCTCAGTCACAGCAGTAAATGTTGATAGTTCTTTAAACTGAACCCCAGTTGCGATGACATCCAGCCTTTCTGAGGGCGCCAATCCGTCCTTGACTTTAGATAATTTTTCCACAAAAAAATTCATGAACTGATCTGCAGTTAACCGCTCAGCATCATAGCATATGCTATCCTTATTACCTCTACAAAGGATCTTATCTATTACCCTCCATAGATTCTTAGGATTACCTTTTTTATCATTGACAATGACGGTCCAGTACTGACTGCGTTTAACACCAAATATCCTGGATTTTTCATCTAAAGCTCTTTTCCATTCTTCTCGATGAATAGATTGATGACTCCTTCTAAAAATTCGTTCTTTTTTCCTGCATAATCGCTTCAAACGATAACACTCATCGTCAAACCATGGGGCAACACGATCCCGTTTAGTCAAGACAGTTCGAACAGGTGCAATTACACCAGCAATTCGTAGAGATTCATTGAAAAACAATTGAAATTCAGCGTCAAGGTTATCACTTATGCAAGGTCTCGATATCGCGGATTCCAAAAAAGCTCTAGTAAAGCCGTCATTGTCCATTCGATTCCAGGATCTGATTTTTTTGCAAATGTTAAAAGAGTGGTTACGAGTAATTGACAAAGCTACTCGAATAAAGCCATGGTCAGAATAAACACCACTAGGAAATGTATGTATGTATGTATGTATGTATGTATGTATGTATGTATGTATGTATGTATGTATGTATGTATGTATGTATGTATGTATGTATGTATGTATGTATGTATGTAGTATATGTTATAGTATATATATATGATAGTAGATAGTGAATGGACGCAATTGGATTTCTCTGAGTTTTTCTTGAATTTTGGCATTAATTTTAATATTTTATGGTTGAATTTGGATTTGTTTAAAGGATAAAATTAGAGGAAGTATTATTATATTTTGTTTTTCATTAAATGGTTTCGAATTAATTAATTTAGATTTAATTGTTTATTTAGGTTTAATATATTTATATAAGAAACTATTATTTAAGTTGTTTTTTTTGGATAAGTCCACTCCTTGTTGATTTGAGTTGTAGTTTGCAGACTTAAACAATAAAAATTAGCATTAATTTACATTTGTATGTACTGATTTGTTAATAAACATATGGCTTCAAAAAATAAATGCACAGCCTGTGCAGGTACGGTACCAATGAAGGAAATGCTACACTGCAAATTTTGTGAGTTGGTGATTCATTGGATTCATTCTTCCATTTCTGAGCAAACAATGAAGGATATTCAACAATGTACCGGTTTAATATGGTGTTGTAATGGCTGTGTTGGACAGATGGAGGCTTTCAAACCTGGCAGTCAGTTAAGCGTGATGGGGGGGCGATATAAAAACGATTCATGAAACCAATGCGGTTATTATTAACCAAATTAAAGATTTGGGGGAAAAGTTTAATAAAACGCTTGACAATGATGATTTGAACTTGGCGATGAAAAATCTAGAAAGCAAAATAACTATGCTGCAAGATGAACTGAAAAATATAAAAAACATACAAGATTGCAACAATGTCATTAGTGGTCAAATAAAGGAGATAAAAACCATTCTTGATAAAAAAATCACGGAAGATATTCTGGATAAAAAAATAAATTCACTACAAGATGGTCTTAGAAAGTCGTATTCATTCAGATGCTGTGAAAGATGTTGTTGGGAAGAAAGTTGAAACTGTAAATAATGAAGTGATGAGTATGAATGATGGAATAAAGGCACTAAAAGAAGAGGTCATTAGTACAAAGAAAACAATTCAATTATATATTGAGGTTGAAGAAAGATCGTTCAACTTTATAATTTTTAAATTGAAAGAAAGAAAAACCTCAGTTTTAATGATAGCAAAAAAGAAGATAGTGAAAAGATTATGCGCATTCTTAGTGCAATAACAGATGAAAAATTTGATATGTCAAATGTTGTTAAACACTACAGATTGGGCAAGAGATCGGATAATGTCAGGCCGCTGTTGGTTAGACTGAAGTCAAAGGTTTTGAAAAACTTAATTATGGAAAGTCTAAATAATTTGAAAAATTTAGATGATGATCTGAAGGGAATAGGTATTGGCCACGATATGACAAAAAATCAAAGAATCAAGTGTAGAGAATTGATGAATTTAGTGAGGGAGAAGGAGGCAGCTGATAAAGAGGATTTTGTTTACAAAGTGAGGGGTGAACCTGGAAATTTGAAAATAATTCGAATAAAAAAAAGATTGCACTGAATATGTGCTCTTTCGATATCGATGGAATATTTGAGGAACTTGATGACATTAAATATTTGAAAAATGATGTAAACAGAAAAGTTAATGCAATATTTTCGGTAGGGGCAATGGGCGGATATGAATCAAAAAAAGTGGAAATTTTGGTAATGTGAATTTTGTCATTAACTATAGCGAAAGTAACATGGTGAATGATCAATTGGGTGGTTGTGGTGGTGATGATGATGACCCTGGTGATGATGATAGACGTGATGGT